CAGGCTGAAGCCCCAACCCCCAGTGACTGTAGCTGGAGATGGGGCCTTGGAGAGGGACTGCAGCTCTGGTCTGACGGGACTGTGTCCTCAGAAGAAAGGTGAGCCCTTGCTCTCTCTCTCTCCCCCAACCCCCTCTGAAAGTGCACCCCTGGGCACAGTGAGAAGGGTTGTAAGCCAGGGACGGAACCTTCCAGCGCCCTGACCTTGGCTTCCAGCCTCCCAGGCAGCAGGAAGTCCGTATCTGTGGCTGAAGCACCCCAGCCTGGCAGGCCCCAAGGAAAGCCCCTCACCACCCACAGGGCACTGGCGGCTTCCCACCACTGCCACTGAATCAGGCCCCAAAGCTGACCCAGGACCCCCTCCCCTGCAGCCCCTGACCACCTCTCTGCTCCCCATTCCTCCTTGGCCGAAATCTCAGCCCCTGAACAAACCGGGCCTGACCCCTGCCCAGGTCAACGCCTCTGGCCTGGGCTCCAAATGCCCGGAGGCCCTCTGAACACTTTCTGTCTGGAAACACCAGCAGGGTCACACTCACCCCCTGGGGCAGGGGACTGTGGGTGGCTGGGGTCTCTGTGCCCACCCCCTGCCCAGCCTGATACACAGCCATTTCCTGATTGCAGGTTTGTTACAGGTCCCTAACACTTACCCAGAGGTAGCTGTCCGGCCAGGGTTTCTGCACTATAGTCCCTTCTGTGGTTGCTAGAAATATGTTAGTGGAATGACGTTTGGCTCCAGATCCCAAGGGAGGGCTCTTGGATCTCGTGCAAGGAAGAATTCAGGGCAAGTCTGCAGTGCAAAGGAAAGGCAAGTTTATGAAGAGATAACGTGGGGAAAGAGCAGCTGCTCCACAGAGCAGGAAGGGGGGAACGCGTCCACCCCAGGTACTGTGCTGATGTAAGGAGATGTGCTCAGCCAAAAGGGTTTGTGATAAAGGATTAATCTTCACTTTTCTTTTTTGAGATACAATCTCGCTCTGTCTCCCAGGCTGGAGTGCAATGGTGCGATCTCGGCTCACTGCAACCTCCGCCTCCCGGGTACAAGCGAGTCTCCTGTCTCAGCCTCCAGAGTAGCTGGAATTTCAGGTGCACCACCACCTCCGGCTGATTTTTGTATTTTTAGTAGAGACAGGGTTTTGCCATGTTGGCCAGGCTGGTCTCGAGCTCCTGACTTCAAGCAATCCACCCACCTCAGCCTCCCAAAGTGCTGAGGTTACAGGCATGGGCCACTGCGCCCCGCCTATTTTCTTAGTTTCCATGTTTTGCAAGAACCGATATTATCTTTAAAACAAAATTAGGAGTGGCTTTCGTCTCCAGATGTCGGGATTATCTGGTCACTCCCAAGTCTGAGTCTGTTTAGTCAACATAAACATCTAGAGGCCAGGAGTGCCAGACTTTCTGAGCAGCAAGTCCCAGCCGGGTTTCCCCAGCCCCTGCTCAAGATGGAGTCACTCTGGTTCCAGTGCCTCTGGGAGATGGGTTGAATGCACAAATGAAATTCTGCCAAGATTTTTTTGTCAAATGTGAACCCCTCCAACCCCTTTCCCACTGAGTCTGTTTCATCCCTTCTGTCTGGCTTCTGTGGATGCGGGAGGGCTGTTCCTGCCCACTCAGAAGGGAGGCTGGGAGGAGTGGACAACGAGGTACCCTCCTTCACTGGACTCAGGGTCCCGTCTGGTCCTCACAGAGCTGGGGCTTCCCATCTGGGCCGTGCATCAAACAGGCCAAAGTGGAAAGAACCGCTAGGCGCCACCCAGACCAGGGTGGGGGGGACCACGGACCCCAAGACTCCTGCCCGCAGAGACTCCTCGGGGTCTCCTGCTCGTCCACACCCGGCACTCCCAAACGGAGTGGGGGCAGGGCCTGGCTTCCAAAAGTCCGCTCCTGGTGGCGCAGGAAGGAAGCAGGTGTCCTGGGCCGGGCGCACCGTGGTGAGGCCCGGCAATACACATTAGGGTCTCCACAGCCACACCCGGGGCTCTGGCCCAGCCCTGGCAGCCTGCAGTCAGCAGTGGATAAGCGGGCGGGAGGACGAGTGTTGCCTGGCCACAGAGCCCTGAGCGGCTCCTGCACGTGGACTTGGCCACAGCGCCCTGAAGCTGCCCTGTAGGGTTGAGCCTGCCTGGACGCCCACACCTGCGCCCACCCTGGCACACCCGTCTCCTCCTGCGCTTTTCACCCTGGCTCCACTCCAGGGCTCTGCTGCCCTCTACGCGCCCAGAGGGAGCGCAGCGCCGCCCTCATCTGGAGAACACACAGGGTCCCTCCAAGGGGCCCCACCCCTGTCAGGCTCAAGCGGCCACCTTTGTGTCACAATGAGGGCTCCCCCAACAAAGAGGTGGCTGCCCCAGGTCACTCTGGGCTCATGATGAATGCACGGTGGACTCTGCGATGGACTCTGGGGCAGGCAGGCTTCTGTGACATGGGCCTCAGAGGGCTGGTCACAGAATGCTGGGGGTGTGCTGGGTACCTGCTGGGACCGCCCGTCAAGTGAGCACTGGGAACTGAACTGCCATAGCCACCGCCTGACTGCGGCCTGCACCCGGCACCATTCAGCATCGGGGGCACCGCAGGTGTGCTGCCAGGCTGGGGTCAGGGGAGCCCTGGAGCCACCTGCAGTGGGACAAGAGCATGTCCCTCCACCCTCCACCCTCCTGCTGCCTCCTCAGAAGCTGTGTCTGCCCCTGGCCAGGACAAGAGCATGTCCCTCCACTGCCAGCCTCCCGGGGTCCCCTCCGCAGCTGTGTCTGCCCCCGGCCCCACGTCAGAAGTTGACATCCTGCTCACTCTTCTGGCCTCCCGCTTCACGCACCCAGGCCCAGACGTCGCCTTCAGCCGCTGTGGTCCCGCCCTCTCGCCTCTGCCCAGGCCAGTCCGTCTCTGCTGTCCTCAAGTGCGCTGAACGCACTGGACAGCCCCACTCCCCTCCATCTGTCCTCCAGGGGTCAGATCCCTACAGCCAGACGCCTTCTTCAGAGGGGAATTTGGCAGATTCTACTCAACATTTTAAGTAAACATCACATGCACTTTGATCCAGAATTCTACTTCCGGAAGCTGACCCGGCAGCTCACTCAACGCCAGGCCAAGACAGCGGCAACGGGACTGCAGGTGGAAGCTACACTTCCCAAAGCAGACAGGTGGGACCGGGTGCCACACAGCCTCCCCACGTGAGGAGCCTTGCACGAAGGCGAATGACACAGGCTGGCTCTGGAAGGCACGCAAGACTAGCTATCAGGGACGCTGGCCTGTGCACCCACAGTGACTGTATTTTTTTTTTTTTTTTTTTTTGAGACTGAATCTCGGTCTGTCACCCAGGTTGCAGTGCAGTGGTGCCATCTCTGCTCACTGCAATCTCCCCCTCCCTGGTTTAAGCAATTCTCCAGCCTCAGTCTCCCGAGTAGCTAGGAATACAGGCGCCCGCCACCACACTCGGCCAATTTTTGTGTTTTTATTAGCGACAGAGTTTCACCATGTTAGCCTGGCTGGTCTCGAACTCCTAAGGTGATCTGCCCACCTTGGCCTCCCAAAGTTCTGGGATTACAGGCATGAGACACCATGCCTGGCCAGTGACTGTATTTTTAACCTGAGCAATATTTTTTAAGAGCTGACATCAGAGAGGAATTATTTTACTCACCAACCATTACTTTCAAAGCAGAAGTCTCACTGTAATCAGAACATTTCCAGGGCTGGGTGCGGTGGCTCAAGCCTGTAATCCCAGCACTTTGAGAGGCCGAGGCGGGTGGATCACGAGGTCAAGAGATCGAGACCATCCTGGTCAACATGGTGAAACCCCGTCTCTACTAAAAATACAAAAAAATTAGCTGGTCATGGTGGCGCGTGCCTGTAATCCCAGCTACTCAGGAGGCTGAGGCGGGAGAATTGCTTGAACCCAGGAGGCGGAGGTTGCGGTGAGCCGAGATCGTGCCATTGCACTCCAGCCTGGGCAACAAGAGCGGAACTCTGTCTCAAAAAAAAAAAAAAAGAAAATTTCCAACTTTTTTCTTTACTCTTGTTGCCCAGGCTGGAGTGCAGTGGTGCGATCTTGGCTAACTGCAACCTCCGCCTCCTGGGTTCAAGCGATTCTCCTTCCTCAGCCTCCCGAGTAGCTGGGATTACAGACGCATGCCACTACATTCTGTATTTTCAGTAGAGATGGGGTTTTGCCATGTTGGCCAGACTGGTCTCAAACTCCTGACCTCAGGTTATCCAACCACCTTGGCCTCCCAAAGTGCTGGGATTACAGGCATGAGCCACTGCACCCAACCAGAAAATTTCCAATTTCTTAAACGATTCTAAGCCTAAGTTTCTGACAAGGATGAGACTCTCAAACGATGTACCAGGCACTAAGACCACACTGTGACAGTGTGTCTCCAGGGCAGGAGTTAGGGCCTTGTATCTTCCCCATCCCAGAAGCAAGTCTGCAGCCGTCACACATTCCTGAATGAGCCTGACAGCAGGCTGAGCACAGGGGGTTTCTGCTGCAGACAGGCTGGTGCTTCCATCTATAAACGCTGCACCCTGCTGGGCAGGCCCATAGGACGGACAGACGCACCCAGACTCTGCTGCTCAGATTAAACCCTGCACCCCAGATGACCAAAGGGGCAGAAGCAACATGGAAAGGGGTGGGGGGGGGCTCCCTAAGAACCGGGCACAGAAGACACCCAGGGAAGGACAGGCAGGGAGCATGAGCACTGGAGCCCGTGCCTCATGGAGGTGTGCATGTCACATGGTGGGGCCAAGGTTGCCCTTCTCAAAGGCAGCCCTGCTTTCTCCCCGGGACCTCACACCAGTGTGAGTGGAGGGCAGAGACGACCAAGACCTCCCCTGCGGGGCAGGCCCACGAGGACAGTTTTAGGACACAGGCATTTAGTCTGGAGACCGCCCCGGCGTCCCATGACAGGTCGGGGGCCCGGCTTTACCCACAAAAGCCCCCCAGTATTCCAGGCAGCCACATCAACACCACTGAGACGAAGACAGGAACACAGGGTGTACTAAACACACACATGTATTAAAACGTTTTATTGGAAACTGGTTAAAAAGTAAGGCACTCCAAGCTTTATGGTTTCCTTGAGGTTATAGTTTTGTGGCTGCTCTCAGTATATTTCAGAAAAAAGCAGATGGACTAAGACCAACCTTCCAGACGTGGCTTTCCACACTGAACACAAGGATTAACTATGCTGTATTTAACCACCAAGCGCTACCTTCGGCTCAGCAAGCTACATGCAGGAAACTGGCTTTGCACACACACTACCGTATTCACACAAAGTTCGTTAAAGTCTATTAGGAAGTTTCTTTTAGGAATAAGCAACACGAAGTCCAATTCTGATGGCTGCTATAAAATCGGCAGGAATCTCTGTAATACTTTGCTATGAATGCCCCAGAAGTCAGAGAAATAAGCCTGAAGAACTGGGTACAGGCACACGCTCTGTGGAAATCTCAGGGTGGGAATGTCACTCTCGGTGAGCTGTGCGCAGTGAAAAGGCTGGTCCAGCTGCTGGAGGATTTTAAGGTGTTCCGGGTCATGTTGATCTGCCTGGGAATTTTCTCTCATGCTGAAGAGTTTTCTCAGTTTCACGACCGTGAAGTATAAAAACCGAACGTGTCATTTCTCTTAGGTGCTGTCGACCAACTTTCCCAAAGCGAAGTGTTTAAAACTTCAAAGCAATCTGGAGTGGGGACTACTCTCACACTTCGTTAGGCAGTGTGTTTCAGATCCCCTACACGCTGCTTCCCCTGCCATGAAGTGCGTGGTTGACTTACTAAAGCCGTGCATCCCGACTTGACAGAAACGTGGGGCGGGTCCAGCTGTGCGGGTGCCTGCAGTGCCACTGGAGAGCTCCCAGAGAAGCCCACTATGAAGGAAGTGCCCAGAACACCCTCGAGCCAGAGCGGCTGGAAGCTGGAGTGATCCCGTGAGGCAGGAGCATCAGCGCCTGCTGGGTGGTGTGGGGAGAGCCATCAGCTGGCTCTGCACACCTGCTTCCCGGGCACGCGGCCCAGAGCCTGACCTGTGGACAGGCCTTTCTCTCTCCTTGGGGCGGACCTGCCATCCCCAACGATCCCTAAATGGCCACCCCCAGACAGCCCAACAGGCAGAAAGAGGACACCAACAGGGCTGGAGAGAGCTACAGCGCCCTCCCCCGTCCTCCCCACACTGCCGGCACGGGAGCCCACTGGTGCCCAACACCACAGGTGTAATTCAAGCGTCCAAGGGAAAAACAGTCTCATATTCTAGAGAAGACACAAATTTTAAAAATTGTCCAAAAGGGGCCTGAATTTTTATATGAAAGTATTCTGGTGAAATCTTTTAAGTAGGGAAGAAAATCCAGTAATTGTTTTTTAAAGGTTTAAGTTTAGCGATTCCTCAAAGCTATTTGACACAATTGAAGTTAAGAAGAGTAGGTCCTTATGAGACTGTCCTGGAGCCCTGTCATCAGCAAAGCCACGTGAATCAACAGGTGGGAAGATTCAAGACACGTGCACAAACACTGTCCATGGTTTTATGGGGAAATGACAAAAGGAAAATGGGCTTCCCATTGTCGCATGTAAGCTTGTTAGTAGACAGGGAGGACGCTGGGCTCTGCTGCTGCCCAGGAGAATGCATGGCCACAGCACCGGGGCCGCCGGGCGGCTTGGTGGGCAGTCAGACGCTTACAAACTGAGAAGAGCGTGGAATAGGCACATTTCCTCCTCCAAAACTCAAAACCCCAAAGGCTTCCTATTTCAAGTAACTAAATCTAGACATAAACAAGGAATCAAAGGTCACAAGTCTGCAGGGACAAGAAGAGGATTGTCCTTTAGGGGCAGTTCTCCGACCGCCTGTCCTGAAGGCTGCACTGGTCAAGGTCAGGAGGCCTCAAGGCCACGTGGTCTCCCGGCCGGGCTCTGCTGGAGTGTGCGCCTCACAGGAAGCTTCGGGACTGCCTGGCGTGCTGGAGCGTTTCAGTTGTTTTCAAATCTAGCATATGGGTTTTCTTCTTTAAACAGGCCTGAAAACAAAATACACTTGAATCATAAATCCGTTCATTCAAGCAGAAACACATTTTAAGAAGCCATACAGGTTAGTTGTATAAGACTGACTGAGGCTGCAGCACCAGCAGGCTCCCATACTCTGCTTAACCTTTCCTGAAGTCTAACCATTTCAAACCTTAAAACTGAAATACAATGTACTAGAAACAAGAATTCTAACAGATCCTGAGAGATAGGCCCTTATTTCCTGATGCTCAGCAAAGAAAAGAAATGCAAGGCAAATATTTCCTTCCACAGTGACTGGCTAAACAAAATAACCTTACTTTGTGCTCATAATTGCTCCTTAACCTTTGGAATTAAGGCTACAGAAAACGACCATCAATCTAACTCTCGAGTTTATGACAGAACTGGGATGAAATGTGTTATTTATCTGTGACAGTAAACCCGTGGGACTTGCCCGAGGACCAGAAATTTTCCCCTTATGCTGCAGAAACATGTGCACACACATACTCTCTCTCCCTTTAATTCTCTTTGAGATGGAGTTTCACTCCTGTTGTCCAAGTTGGAGTGCAATAGAATGCCTTGGCTCACTGCAACTTCCACCTCCCAGATTCAAGTATTTCTCTGGCCTCAGCCTTCCGGGTGACTGGGGTTACAGGCATGTGCCACCACACTCAGCTAATTTTTGTATTTTTAGTAGAGACCGGGTTTCTCCATGTTGGTCAGGCTGGTCTCAAACTCCTGAACTCAGGTGATTTGCCCACCTTGGCCTCCCAAAGTGCTGGGATTACAGGCGTGAGCCACTGCGCCCGGCCTCTCTCTCCCTTTAAAAATCTGTATTGTACACTAAAATCATCTGCAACAATTACAACACAGCTACCCACTACAGCTATTCTGGGTGCTGGGTGGAGGACGAGGTGGGGAAGCAGAGGATGGTGAGGAAGGGCCTGGCCTCGTGTCTCGCTCTTGCCTGTCAAGGAGGGCCCAGGCATCAGGCTTTGGGAGATGAGGCTCCAAGTCGGTTTTGGGAAAGAGTCAGCAGAAAGCAGCTGTAAGGACGCTCCTTAAGGTCTCACTGGAAAACTTGCTCCTGAGTCGACTTCCAATTTAGAGGAAACACCAAAGCCAAAACAAGGTTTCTGCATGTGCGCTGCTATTTTAAATAACTGCACCAGGTTGACTCACTTTCTCCCACTCTCCCATCAGGAAGTTCTTGGAATGATTCTAAGTAGCCGAGGCTTCCCAAAGCCCAGGCCATTCAATGGGCTTTATTACAAACTGGCACAAAAAGCTAATTTCATCAGTGCAATTAAAGAGCCAAATTAACCACCAAAATGGCAGGTATAAGCGAGTAAGGGCCCTGACACAGAAGACACAGCTCCACCCAGAGCCTGGCTGGCCGCCCTCAGCCCCACACCCGCTGGGAGTCAGGGCACAGTGAAGGTCGAGGACCTTTAAACACGGGTTGCACTTGGCGATAACAAGCACTGTGCGGTGGGTGTGTGTGTGTGCGCGGGTGTGAGTGTGCGTGCCTGTGTGTGTGTGTGTCCACCTCATCTTTTATTTACATTAATATTAATCAACATTATCAGGTGCCAAAAAGCTCTTTCTGACTCTTCTGTTTCGGGACACCACCGCTGCCTCCCGCCCAGGCCTGCACATACGCTGGTGGGCCCAGGCTTCACCAACACAGGCATGCGCTCTCTGGGAAGGAGGGCGACCTGGTGCTGCTCCTTGTGACAGTGGCACCCTGGCGCCTGGTCACTACCCATGACAGACACACTCCAGGAAACACAGGCGATGGAGGGGGCGGGGCAAGGACAAGTAGGCAGCGAAGGCTCCACCTCGGAGAACCCAGGGAGCCAGTGCAGCCCCGCCCACGCACGCAGCACTCAGGAGACTGATGGACAGCAAGCAGCACAGGAAAAAGCCTCCCTCAGCCACTGGGCGCCTCAAGACCAGCAGCCAAGGCAGCCTCACACCCCCGAGCCAACACTTTGAGACTGGCAGGACCCACCTGGCCTCAGGTCACAGCATGGTCACATGGAGGTGACCTTCCAAGGAGGTCAGAACTCACAGGGAGGGGACATCCCAGCCAATGGGCAGAGCTACCCAGCATTTCCAGCCCAGGGCACCAGCAGCCTGACAGACCCCATGAGAGGCAAACGAGCCTCTAGAGATACAATGCTCATCACCCGTGCCTGACAGAGGTGCAGAGGTGCTGCTGGGCTTCGCAGTAACACCCCCGGCAGGTCACAGAAAGCACCGCAGCAGTGTCTTCATGGCCCTGAGGGCGGGGTCCTCAAGTACCACAAATACATGAAACTCCCTAATACAAACAAAGCTTAAAACAGTGCAGCAGCCAGAAAAGGCTCTGGAATTTTCCAGTGAGGTTTCACGGAAAGCACTGTGGGCACAGGACAACAGATTCCTGAGGACCACGGCTGCCATGAGCCCAGGGCCACACGCCTTGTACAGCCGAGGCGTCAGTTTCCACCCAGTCTGCAATGCCACACAACCACAAATGCAGTGGGGGAGACGCTAATAATCTCTGCGGACTTTAAAATCAGTACACAGGCAATGGAGCAGGCCTAGGTGGTGGGGTTCAGTGCCAAGCAGTGAACACCATGTGATCTGGGGAGGACAGGACAGGTAATGTAATGTGTGTTTCCAGTTCACTCCATCTAAACAAGGTTTACTTTCGGCAAATACATTCATTCTAGCTCCTTCAAAGCTGCCCCTCAAAATCTCCCCAGACCAAACAACAGAGCGCCAAGGCCAGGCAAGAGGGAGCAGGGCCCGTGCCGGCAATTCTCAGAAGGAACTTCTGCCACACTCAGAAGATGGCAACCAGCATTGCTCCCGAGGGTGAGGGGCCGTCCCGAAACAAAGAGGGGAAACTTACAGCACCGGCACCTCGGTTACATAGATGCACCCACAGGGAGCCAAACATGACCGAGGAAGAGCCGAGACTTCCAGCCCAGAGGCCTTGCGACTTGATAAGCAAACAGGTACCCAGGAACACAGACTTCATAAAGACAACTGGCTGAGATAAAAATATTCCTAGGAGCGGGTTCACCACGGCACCGCCAGGGACGCCAGCTGCTCCTCTCTGAGAGAAGCAGTTCTGCACTGATGGGTGAACCCCTAGCCCAATCTCAGGCCCCACCAGCACTTGGTTCTATTCCGACGGGTGAACCAGCCTGGTGTCAGGCCCCACCAGCACTAACAAGGACCAAGACGGCGCAGCATCGCCTTCCAACCTGTCCAAAAGGGGGCTGGTCCAGTCCTTACCATATTTTTTTCTGATTTCGTCATGTCTTGTCTTCATCTCCGCTCTCCTAAAACACAGAGAAACATGATTAGCATCAAGCTACAGCATTCAGTGTAACTGTATGACATGCCCTCCGTGTCCCTCAGGAGGGGCTGCAGGTTTCTTCTGGTGGCTTCCCTCCAGTTCCCAGAGTGAAACCAGGGTAGGGACAAGCTTGGTCACTGGACCACACACCCACGAGGACAGGCAGGGTGACAGTGAACCCAGTCTTCCGAGGCTATTCCAATGTATTATCTATTCTTTTCAATAAAAGTAATTCAAATGCCCGATATTGTGATTTTTCAAAAGCTTTTTTCATACAAAAAAAAAAAATACACCGATGAGTAAAAATCATACACCAGGTTCTGAACAGGGTTAGGAAATGCGATCATCAGTTTTACCTAGTAGCATGTGACTTCAAGGTGGATGCATGGAAAATGTGTCCTGCCTCCACCCTCACCAGCTGCCAGCTTGACTCCCTTGCCAGGTGTGGCTGACACCACCTCCTCCCAGGGCTACCCAACAGCCCCAGGAGAGTACTGTGTCACCAGGGAATGGTGACAGGAGAGCCAACCTGGCCACAAGCAGACGCTGTCCCCTCTGAGCCTCAGCTTGCTCCTGGCATATGGAGAGCCTGGACCAGCCGCCTTAGCAGCCATAAGAGACCCGTGACGCCGCAGATGCGAGCCTCATTGCACGGACCGGAGGAGACAGGCAAGGAAGCCTGTGGAAGCAAGGTCCATGGCCACCGTCAGGTTCCCACCCTGTTCTCACTCTCCACCATGACCTAGAAGGTCCCCTGGGTGCTACACACATTCTTAATTTCTAAAACCTGAGGAAAACTCATGATGTATGCACGTGACTCCCATGGCCTTGGAGATGTGAATCCCCTCGAGGCCAACTTCTTCCCAGAGGGGATCGCTGCGACCTCACCGTTCCTCCTGCCGTATCCGCCTCTCCTCCCGTTCACGCATGGCCTTCTCCTCGCTCCTGTCTGGCTTCCGGCTCCTCTTCCTCCTGCAGCAGCAGCAGCAGCAGACGGCGATGCCCAGGAGGAGGGCTCCCCCAACCACCGACATGGTGATGATCAGTGCCTCAAAGTTCACTGGAGAGTCACACACCTCGAGTTAGGGCCGCCACAGACACAGAACCACCCCAGCGCAGCACCCTTCCCTTGTCCCTGGGAACCATCTCAGAACACGGGAGCATTAAGTAGGAAACGCCTCGGCCCAGCTGCTGGCTCCCGGGGTGTGGAGAGCCTGTGGCCCTGTACCCACCCCACAGCGTCCGGCCCTCTCTGAGCCTCCTTTCAGCCACAGGTTCACATCTGTGACTACCACTGATGGATTAACCACGATGAACTGAAGTGACATGGTAATCTCACTTGAGTTTGCAAAGGTATTCGAAGCACAAGAAAAGTTAACTAAACCAGAATTCTAAGCTACATATTCAGACCCTCCTAAGACATTCTAAACGCATAGAAATGGATGTGAAGCCTGATGCAGCTTTGTTTTTGTTTAAAGCAAAGTCAAGACTATTACACTTATTTACAGGAGAAAGAAACTCAGGGCACAGACTGACCGCCAGACTCAAAAGGAGTGACCTGGGAGGGGCGGACCAGGCCATGGAACAAGATGGGGTCATCCTCAGATCTGAGTATTTTGGGTTCCCTGGGGTTGAAAAAGGGCTAATCAGTACCCAACACTAATGACCTCCATAATCAACCTTCAGAGACACATGCAAATTTAAAACAAATCTTACTATTCAACTTCTTTTAAAGATCTATAAATTAAAATCAGCCAAGACTTTTCCATTCAGTTCAAACCACGGCCAGTTAGAAAATGCCCTAACACTGCTCTGCAAACGTGTTTTCAGTCATCCAGTTCAAACAGCCTCCTTGGCTGGAACACCCATAATCCCAGCACTGTGGAGGCCGAAACAAGAGTGCGTGAGTCCAGGAGTTCAACACCAGCCTGGCCAACAAAGTGAGACCCCACCCCTGCCCATTTCTACGCAAACTTTCACAAAATTAGCTGGATGCGGTGGCATGCACGTCTGGTCCCAGCAACATGGGAGGCTGAGGTGGGAGGATCGCTTGGGCTGGGAGGTTGAGGCTGCAATGAGCCATGCCTGCACTACTGCACTCCAACCTGGGCAACACAGCAAGACACCGTCTCGAAAAAAACAGAAAACACCCACCCAGTCTCCTGAAGACGCTTTATGAGCAAACTCCCCTGGGCAGTAGATAACCTATGATTCACTGTTTGTAACTCTAGTTAGTAGCTGTGCCACGCCACAGGTGAGAGCTCTGACCTCCAGGGGCTGCATGGACTCCCTCAGTCCGGCCCTTTGCTGCCGTGCGCCCTGAGATGCACTTCTAGTGGGTTATCATTTAACACAACTCATTTTTTACTTGATTAAACTAGTTTGAAAATCAGGAATGGGAGTTGCATCTGATCAAATGCCTTTTGAGCTTCTAATCCTGTTTTTTCTTTCCCTGAACCGTTCTGGAAATATCAAATTGCAAACATTACAATAATAGAGAGAATTAGAGAGGGGACCTTCATTGGCAGAAGATGTCATTTTTTTTTTTTTTGAGACGGAGTTTTGCTCTTGTTGCCCAGGCTGCAATGGCACGATCTTGGCTCACTGCAACCCCCACCTCCGGGGTTCAAGCAAGTCTCCTGCCTCAGCCTCCCGAGTAGCTGGGATTACAGGCATGCACCACCACTTAGCTAATTCTGTATTTTTTAAATAGAGACAGGGTTTGATCACGTTGGTCAGGCTGGTCTTGAACTCCTGACCTCAAGTGATCCCCCCACCTCCCAAAGTGCTGGGATTACAGGCCCATGCCACTGCGCCAGGCTAAAGATGTCATTTTTTGACTGGAGAACTCCAGAAAAATCAGCTAAAAAACCCAATGAGACCAACAAGATAGCTGGCCCTAAAACATACCTACCCCTCCTCAGACAGCTTTTCTGATTAGCAGCTAAAACGAGTTAAAAACAAACAGAGATCGTGTCATAATGGGAAACAAATTTAGGGCTCCTTGTTGCGGATTCTGGAGGGTAAACCCAGGAAGAACTTGAACTTGAACCAAAGGATGCAGGAGAGACCTGGCAGAGAGGCACCTTTGTCTCTGGACAAGCAGCCAATGCTGTAGACATCTCATTTACCTCCAAGCAAGAGTGTATTTTAGGTCATTACAATTAAAGCCTAGAACCAAAGGATGCAGGAGAGACCTGGCAGAGAGGCACCTTTGTCTCTGGACAAGCAGCCAATGCTGTAGACATCTCATTTACCTCCAAGCAAGAGTGTATTTTAGGTCATTACAATTAAAGCCTAGAACCAAAGGATGCAGGAGAGACCTGGCAGAGAGGCACCTTTGTCTCTGGACAAGCAGCCAATGCTGCAGACATCTCATTTACCTCCAAGCAAGAGTGTATTTTAGGTCATTACAATTAAAGCCTAGAACCAGATACATGGCTCTAAACTCATCTGTAATAAATCAGGGTCTGTGGTGCGAGGCCTGAAAGCAGCATCATGTGCGCCGTGGAGTCTGGTGAAACCAGGCGGGCCCTGAGGGCCCAGCCATGAGCTCTCCTCCCCGCTCAGGTTCTGTGGACAAGGTTGGACAAGGTCCAGGCTCAGACAGCCTCTTGCTCCCCCTGCCAGGTCAGGCACACTTCCTGCTTCTCCCAGAGTAGCGGGTATCTCAGTTCCCTCTCAGCCTCAGAATTAACCAAACAAGCTCATCACACCCCAGACTCCTGTGACGACGCAGCTGCCTCCTGAGCCCGGGCCTGTTCCCCTGCGTGACCCTGTGTGGCGCGTGGTGCCCCTCCATGCTGTGACTGTGACTGATCACCTGCTGCCGCTCTCATACAGGAGTGAGTGCTGAGTATCCATCCATTTCTGTAGCCTAGCGTGGGAATTTCATCTCACAAGAGAATTGTCAAAAACGCCCACTATGTGTAAAGGTGATCAACGTGACCGACTAGCCACTGCAGAAATGCAAATGAGAAGCAGAAGACACACTACACACCCACTAGATGGACTAAAATTAGGGTGGTTGGTTACCCTAAACGTCAGGAGGGATGTGGAGCAACCAGCCCCACGTTGCCTGGAGGAGGCCAAACGGGTAGAGCTACTCCAAAAATGTCTGGCAGACTTCCTAACGCTAAACACAAATATGCACCGTGACTCAACAACTCCACCCTCCCCACCTCCGGAGACATGAGCGCCTGTGTCAGCGCCAGCACGACCATTCCTAGCAGCACTAGAAAGACCCAGACAGCCCACGTGGCGCGTGGCTGGACAGCTGTGCGGGACACTGCGCGAGACTGACATGAACTCGGACTTGTGCTGAATGAAAAGTCAGAGAAAGTACAGCTTCCTCTACATAAAGGCCAGGAGCAGTGACTTCAATCTGTGCGATGGGAAGTCAGTCAGTGGCTCCTGTGGAGGTCCTGACAGGAACTGGGAAGAGTCCTGGAAGTCCTACCTACTTTGCTATGAGTGGTGGTAACGTGGTGATAAGGACTGCACAAATGCACTGAATATATGTATGTGCACATGTGTGCATTACATGGACTCTACAAGACATGGACTCTAAGCCATGGTCCATGCACTTCATCAGCAGCTATATGCCATTAAAAGCACCTCACGGCCAGGTGCTCCAAAGGGCAAGGCTCCTCAGGTCCAGCAGCTGTCTCTACAGAGTGGCCATTAAGAGAAGTTCCATGGAAGGGACGAGGCTAGGGGGAAGCAGGCGTGACAGGAAAACACATGACATGATGGGCACATGCGTGCCTGTTCACAAACACACATGCATCACATATGAAGGTACATGCACACACCACAGCACCCCCTGCCAGACATCCCACAATGTGGGCGACCGTCACCACCATCACTCAAACCTCTGCATTCCTAGGGCCTCAGCACCAGCAACAGGTTGTTTCAGAGGGAGACTGAGCGATTTGGAAATGGAAATCAATTCAAAGCACGATATTTAAGACAGATGTTGCAGAGGGATCCGAGACGCAAATAAACAAAAAGAATCAGCAAAACACCTTAAGAGGGCCAGGCATGGCGGCTCATGCCTGTAATCCTAGCACTCTGGGAGGCCGAGGTGGGTGAATCACCTGAGGTCAGGAGTTCAAGACCACCCTGGCCATCATGGTGAAACCTCATCTTAAAAAAACAAAACAAACAAACAAAAAAAACCTTAAGAAAATATTGGCTCCTTTACAAAGCTTAGGAAGCCTATGTATTACCCCAAAACCTGAGGCCTAAAAGATTAAATTCAACTACACAATAATGAGTTCTAGGTAACAAAACACACCACAGACTGATTTAAAAGGCAAACTAGGAAACAATCTGAATCTCACAAGAGCTGATCTCCCTAATCTAAAAAGCCTGCAAAATCAAATATACAAGGATATACATAATACACGGAGGCCTGTGCCCACGCTAAGCAAGGGTTCTTAAGCTGGGAAAATTGGAGATTCTAGAGGAATTCACAGGTGAGCGTCAAGGGTGACATATGGAGAAAACATGCTATGCAGAGAAGTCAAAAACGCTGCCCTCAAACTCACCCTCCCCTGACCCCTCATCTCCGTAACATCGTGAGACAGAGCTCAGTGCTGGGGCTGACAACCTTAAAAGAGGTCCTCCAGGTTCCCCAGGGAGCCCTAGGCTGCCTTCCCAGTCACCAGATCACCCCTGGCTTCCCAACGCCTTGCTGGGAGTCACAAAGCTACCGGCAGCACGTTTTCAGCAACGCGTGCTAACTGAGCACACACTACTATTTTCAAAGAAGCATCGATTTTGCAGGAAGCAAATGAAACAATGACTTACCCCAACAGACTCCCCAGCGTGCAGAGCTCAATTTACAAAGGGAAGCCGGTGGCAAGACGTTCCTAACTGGGTAGTCCAGACATGCCTTGTCAGTGTTACACCAAAGACACTGAAAGAGACCGACATTAAGTAAACGTTAGAAACGCAAGAGAAAACCAAAGAAGGAACTGTCCAGGCTCTGCCCACAGCCCACCAGTGCCGCCATCGCTCCGTGAATAGCTGTAACGGCTCAGCCTCCCACCTCGTCCCTGCCTTCAGTTCACGCCCAGCACGGCGTCCAGCAGCCCTGTCAGCTCTCCACAGACTCACCCAAGGCCCGCGTCACTCAGACCTCTTCCACAAGTCACCCTGCTGAGGCCATGGGGCCTCCGTGCTGCTCCTGAGTGCTGCCAACCCCCACCCCCTGCTCACAGCCTCTGCTCAGCCTGCCTGTTCTGTCTGGAGTACTCTCTCCACATCTGTGTGGCTCCCCACCAACTGGACGAGCCCTGCCCCGACCAACCGACTGAACACTGCGGCCCACCTCCGCCACCCCGCCTTACCTCCCTACATGCTGAGCACCTGGGCACCATATCCACCATGTTCTGTGTGCCTGAGGGCAGGCATCTGTGCACTTCACTGGCTGAACACAGAACACAGCCTGGCCCATCACGGGTACTCACTGAGTTCGTGTTGAATGGACTTTGGTGAGCATGGCCACCATTTGCGGAGATCTACAGCCCACTACTGCCTAGGGAACACGAACACAGCCACCGCAGCCTCTCTTCCAACATGCAGGGTCCTCTTGAGGCCTTCCAGGCACTGGCACCTCCTTCCAGAAACCTCCTGTGTGCCCAAGAGCACACCTACACATGCCTGAAGCTAGCCGCAAGGAAAGTGGCCCTCTGTACCACCCTGTCTGGGTTCAGAGCTGCAGTCAGGCCTTCAGCCCTTCTGAACCGGCCCCATCCACAATGACCTGGGCAAGTCCCTCGGCCACCTCAGCCATGAGATGGCTGTCATCACCACACCCCGCCCAGGGTGGTGAGGGGTTACACAGGGCACTCCAGCAAAAGCGCTCTCTAGGCCACAAAGTTACATGCAACAGTGAGCTACGTTTAAGGCTGACATGACTTCCAATGGAAAAATCCAGAGACTGAAGAGAAGCACCATGCAGAAAACGCACCAGGACAGACGCACTAGAGCAAGTTCCATCCACATCACCAATGTCAAGATTTGAAACGACAGAAGCAGTGTCTTTCACTTTTTTATTCAGAAATCAAGTATCGACTCAAGTCCCACACACCGGCGAGGTATGTGTCAAGCCTATGCCACTGCGTCGTGGAGTAAGAGCTGATTTTTAAGAACACGGCTCAGGCCTTAGACTGGAAATCATCTAATACATCTTTCCCGACCTGCCTCGTTGTGGCATCAAACCTCACAGTCGGGGAAAGGAAACCTCTGGCTCTGCAGTTCTTAACACCTGGTAAACCACGGACTGGAAGGGGCAGGAGGTGGCCTCTCAGGAATCCTAAGAAAAAGCCCCGCTGTTTTCTGTGGGATGCTGTTTTCTGTCCAACCACTCCCACCCGCCGCGGGCCTGCCCTCGGGTTTCCCACGCTGACTTCATGGTGCCACGAGGCTCTAACTTTAGGTGTTAATGAACCAAGAGCTCCGTGGCAAGATGAGCCTAAGACGTGCCCGCCAGGCTGGCCCGGGAGGGCCCTGTTCACACGCCTTTCCCAAGACCTGCAGTGTCGCGCTGCTTCCCCACCATGGTTGCTCCTTCTCCCAGAAGAACGTCTACATCAGACTCCATCAGGAAGGCACCCCAGGGAGGCTCAGGCCCCGCCTCATACCGCAGAATCTTAGGGAACTTTGCTCCAGACTGCTACCCGCTTGCTGAAGGTCACACAGGTACTTAAAAAACCCGGGACAACATCCAAACCTTTTGATCATGACCAAAGAATGCTATGGACAGCCTGGCCCACTGGCCTCTCTCCTCACTGTGCCCCTTCCAATCCAGTGTGAGAAGCTCAGAAAGCAGCCTCCACTGCAGCCCTTCACAGCCAGGGAAACACAGGCTCACAGCTTTGGGGTGTAGGTTCCAGCTTTACGGACGACCCAATTTCTCAACAGGGGCCTTGTTAGGAAAGCTGACCCCAAAGTGCAGAGCACACGGCATGGCCCCATCTGCTCAGGAGTGAAATCACCGATACTGATCATGCTCAGGCAGTAGCTACAGTTTTCATGAGAAGGTTTAATACGCCTGAAAGGGCTAAAATAACATTTAAAAAACATCATAAAACACCCCCCCAGTTCCAAACAACAGAGCTCTCCTAATATCCAGGCAACTTCCTGGACTTGGAGAAGGCCATGTGCCTTTGGACTGTACTCTAGTCTGCATGCTACTTACGGACACGTTCTTCAGGCACTCTTCACAGGTTCTGTTTGTGTTCTGAGAACAGGCTGCAGGGGAGAGGCAAGAGACAAGTCAGTCACTGAGAATCAGGCAATGTAAACGCTGGTCCAGCGAGGCAGGGTGGGCACCAGTGAGGGACGTGGCACCAAGAACCTGTGATTTGGAATTACCAAGTGAAGGTCCTCTCCCTGAGCCCCTGCCGCTAACAAGCCTTCTTCAAGAAGTCTGGAACGAGTGTTCAGGAATCCCACTGCAGGCAGGATAAACATGCAGCTCCTATCTGCAAGGGCTCTTCTGGGAGAGAAGACCGTGTTTCAGATCTCTCTGCGAGAGAAGGTGCGCCCGTGGCTGTGTAATCACTAACCATGAAACCACTGGGACCTTCCCGCTCATCAGCAAGCACTCTTTAGGGAACTCAAGAGCCTCCATCCAAGGCCAGAGCAACACCAGTGACACTGCCAAGCAGCACCCTTGTGTCTTCGGACTCACCTACAGAGCTCATGTGACAAAGCAAGGTCTCAGTATCCTGGCAGCCTCACCCCAGACTGGGCTATGCTCCCTGTACCAAGAAGACGTGGCATGCCAGCCTGCGCCAATCATGCAGAACACCCTGGGACTCTGCCCACTCCTCACAGCACTGCTGCTAAGGAAGGGGTCAAACTCCACACAGTCAACAGCTCTGGATCTCAAGCCAATCAGAAGCAAGAGCTACTGCATGAATAGCTTCCAACACACAACCAAGTTGACTGCCTTCTCCCGAATCCCTTAAAACACACACAGACTGTGAACTGAAAAGAGCTCTGTGCCCGTCACCAGCCACCAGAGAAATGCAAATTAAGACGACAATGACAGATGACTGCACACCCACCACGGTGGCTAAACTTAAAGAAAATGATAATACCAAATGTTGGCAAGGACGTACAGCAACAGAACTCTCACACGGTGTTGGTGGAAGTGTAAACGGCTCAACTATTTGCAAAGAAGGTCTGGCAGCTGCTCATAAGCAAACATGCGACCACCTACAACTCAGCAATTCCACTCGTATTATTTCTTCCAGGACAGAGGGAGCCCGCATTCACAGACAGACCTGCACGGGAACGCTGTGTGATAGCCCCAAGCCGAACACAGCGTAGATGTCACTCTGTAGGAGGTGGACAGGCTGGAACACTCACACAATACAAGCAAGGCACCAAGCACAGCAAACACGTGGCTCCTGTAGGAAGGGAGCTTCTGGAAAAGACATTGCAAACACAAAAGGCTGTTTGACGTGGCTCTCCTTTAGTGAGCCACGTGACTGTGTAGTCACTGACATCGTTCAGCAATAAAAAGAAATGAACTGGTCTGTGTAAAAGGTGGGTGGGTCTGAAGCACATCGCATGAGTGAAAGACGTCTTACACAGAGGACCCTACCATGTGATGTGGCCATGCAGCTCTACAACAGGTGAGACTCACCTAGGGAGGGAGGAGGGCAATGGCTGCCTGGGGACAGCCGTGCATGGGGGAGGCTGAATCTTCCAGGTTGACGGTCTGTCTGGGTCTGGGCTTTGCAGGTGTAAGTCATTGAACAGTGCAATTAAGTTTCCCGCATCTTCCTGTATAAAAAACGTATCTCGAAAGAAAAAAACAAGACAACTGCTGAACTCTGGTCCCTGCCAGGCGCGGTGAAGGCGGGGATGTGCGCTATGTCTGTGACTGACACGCAGGTGTGGAAGGCTGTGGGGAACACCTGGACAAATGCGACACAGCAAAGCGTGGCCACGGCTTAGGTGGCAGGTACACCAGCGCGCACCACAAACCCTCTCGGCTTTGCTGTATGTGTGAAGAGCTGCATGATGAAATGGAGAGAAAAGAGCTTTAGCTTTAAGTAACAATTTCACTCATTACATTTACCAAGAGGGACTAATAATTACAGAGTCCATTGCTGGGGCCCTTCCATTCAGCAGTGGAGTTTCACATCCCACTTGATTTGAAATGAAAGCATATTTTGTCACATGCTCTACACCAGTTATCACTAAGTAGTACTTATTTAGCCCCAGGGAGGTAAAGAAAGTTGACAAGCAGTGAAAAGCCTCATTTTCTTAAACACTGCTGAGAAGCAGAATCACAGGGTACTTTGATAGAACAGCACTGCTGATGTTTCCAAGTCCCCAGTGACTCGGTGCTGTGGGAGGAAGGGGCACCTGAGGCTGACGGTGGGCAGAGAACCCCATGGGGTTGCAATGTGATGGGCACCATGACAATCTCTTGATTTTAAAATTCAACTCCTAGCTCGGTCCACCGAAAGGGCTGAGAAAAGACAACGCCCAGTAGCAGAGGCATGCTTTTGGTGCCCAGGTTTTGCTTTCTAGACGCTGGTCCCCACTAACAGGAAGCAGAGCTCCTGGGAGAAATGGCTGATTCCAGAAGTGGGGCAGAAAGCAGACAAGATGAGCCACAGACAGCGTGCAGGGCCTGAGAGTGACACAGACATGAACGAATGGCAAGAGGACCCTTAAGCCAGCCTGCAGAGTCTTTCTGGCCAAATCTGGGCCAACTGAACACCAAAATAAATGATAACAGGGTTATAGGGAGAATTTTTGATGGCGCAAAAGAAGTAGCACTTGAATATAAATTTCCCCAGCAAGGCAATTTACTTCTGCACAATGGCGTGTCTCACAGATGGAGCAATGGGGAGCGCACACCTGGACAAGGAGGGGAAGGGGTTCTCATGTCTGACTGAGGTGGCCCCTGCTGCTGTGCTGTTCCCCTATCAGCTACAGTTAGACCGCACAGTCTAGTTAACTCTGATTGGCTATTTTAAAGGGAGCAGGGGTACGAGCTGGAGTGGAGAGGTGGGTAGTTTGGCGGGAAGGATGGTTACAGGACAGGTCAGAGCAGGTAAGCAGGGGTCAAAGCAGGTGACCAGGATGAGTCAGGACGGGGCACGGGACCAGGGGAACAGATGTGAACTGCTGATTAGAACTGGTGGAAAAGGTTGTTTACTGAAACTACAAGGAAGTTAAACTTTAAAATAGAGAATTAAAGAATAAGAGAGCTGAACATGCTGACACGCTGATTCTTTGAAGAGAAACGTGGGGTTCACTCTATCTAACAACAGTCATGAACTCTACCTCCAGAATCCATACTGACATGAAATAAAGAGAAGGCCAAGTGACAAATGTTGAAGAAATGATGAGTTGAGAAGCCTCCATTTTACCAGCATCACAGTCAACACGAATGCAGGCAAGAATCCCCCGAGGATGCCAAGACCCTGGGGTCTGCCTGTAGACCGACAAGACAGTCTCAAAGCACCTCCCCACAGGTGAATCATTATTCATGGACAGAAGTTAGCACCTCGCAAGTGATCAGTCATCCCCACCATAACCCAGAACATGATGATGGGACAAAGTGACAGCATGTGCCTCCCGCAGGGCACTGAGAGGACATAATCACTGTGCCATGCTGCTGCCAAAGTGTACCTGAGTTGAATCAAAGGAAACCCTGGTGAGACCCACTGAGGCTCCTTCCACAAACTGGCTTTCCGAAAACAAAGCCAGACTGAGGAACTAGTCTAGATCGACGGAGGTTAAAGAGGTAACAATTAAATCCGACTTCTGATCCTGGATTCTGGTGGTGGTGGGGACTGGTAAAATTTGTATACGATTTGCCCTATTATGAATCAGGTATTCAGTGATATTGTATCAATGCTACATATCCAGATTTGGATAATTATACGTATTTCAGTTATGCAAAACAACATCCTTCTTCTTAGGCAACATACTGAAGAATGTAGGGACAAAGGGCCACATCAGTAACTTACTCTCACATGGTTTGGTCAAGATAACAAGAAGCAATACAATTGTGATTTCTCAACTTACAATACATTTCAAAAATATAAGTAGAGATAAAGTCTTGCTGTGTCACCCAGGCTGGTCTCGAACTCCTGGCCCCCAAGCAATCCCCCCACCTCAGCACCCAAAGTGCGGGATTACAGGCATGAATGACCGTGCCCAGCAAAATCAATTTTTAAAAATAAATAAAACACAAAATTTTTTATTTTTATATATTTATTTATTTAACACGAAGTCTTGCTTTGTCCCCCAGGCTGAAGTGCAGTGGTGCGATCTCAGCTCACTGCAACTTCTGCCTCCCGGGTTCAAGCAATTCTCCTGACACCCGTCTGAAGAGCTGGGATTATATGTATCTGCCACCATGCCTGGCTAATTTTTGTATTTTTAGTAGAGATGGGGTTTCACCATGTTGGCCAGGCTGGTCTTGAACACCTGATCTCGTGATCCATCCACCTCGGCCTCCCAAAGTGCTGGAGTTACAGGTGTGAGCCACGATGCCCGGCCATATTATAAACTTTTAAAATAACAACGAGATACAGAGAGGGAGTGCTAAAGCAAATGGAGCCAATGTTGAGAACAGAAGGGCGCTCAGGAGCTCACCGCACTGTTCCTTCAACTTTCTGCACCTCTGAGGTCTTTCTAAATGAAACCTGGGCAAGGAGACAGAGGGTATGCCCAACACACCACTCGAGTCCTTTCTGAAAAGTCATCTACAAGGAGGGTACGTGTGCTTCCTCTCCTCAGTCTAACAGTGGCTACGAGAGAGGGATGATGCCGTACTCATTCATGGGGATTTTCATTTTTAAAGCGTCTTTCTGATAACTAGTCTTGTGTGAACTAAAAGAACTGAGCTCCAAGACACACACCATAAACTCCCGGAAGTCTGGATTACAGGTCAATCTGAGTCAGCGGAGAGGCATGAGAGGAAGAGGCCGAGAAAAAAACCACCCAACATTCCTCCCGCTCCCAGCAGGCCAAGAACAGGGAGGGTTTTCATCAATGTTTACAGTCCTCAAACTGGAAAAAGGTCATAGTACTCTGTCGTTTCAAAACACATCATCTTGCATAGTAAGAAAAGAAAGGTGTAGTGGCTCTCGCCTGTAATTCCAGCACTCTGGGAGGCCAAGGCAGGCAGACCCCCTGAGGTCAGGAGTTTGAGACCAGCCTGGCCAACGTGGTAAAAACTACTAAAAACACAAAAATTAGCCAGGCATGATGGCATGCACCTGTAATCCCAGCTACTTGGGAGGCTGAGGCAGGAGAATCGCTTGAACCTGAGAGGTGGAGGTTGCAGTGAGCTGAGATCACGCCGCTGCACTCCAGCCTGGGAGACAGGGCAAGACTCCATCTCGAAAAGAGAACAGACAGAGAGAAGAGAAGAGGCATGAATCATTTGTTACTGCTTCGGACAAGCAGTGTTTATTTCTTTAAGAGATCACATCTCTTATCTCATCATGAGATACAGAAAAACCATGTGCTAGAAAACCACAAATAAAAAGTGCCCTTGTGTTTCTTAAGTCTGAATGTGACTGCCCTGACCGCTGAGGTCCTATGACTGCAAGACTTCAATTTAAACTCCATTTACCAATTTTTAAAGAACGTTCAGTCTCATTTGTTTCAGAAATTGAAGGAAAAAACAACAAAAAACGTTTTCTTCTGTCAGGATACACTAACCCTCCAGGACCCATTTCACCACTTTCCTGAAGTTTCAGGCAAGTCAGCAAATGCAGCAAGCACAAAGGAGCACACCAGCATGGGTAAGGATCTCCTCGTCAGGCACCTGTCACACTGCAGGCCACAGGCTGCAGTCTCCATACTCATCAGCAGAATGAACCGCCAACAGGGGCACGGTGCCCACTCTGCACTGTGACAGAGGCATGGAAAACAACTACATTGCCATTTCCAGGCGAGAAAAGAGGATAGATATGAAGACCAAAAAACCCCACTGTTTCAATATAAAAGAAAGAGTTGAAGACCAGTAGTATGTATCAACACTGTGAACCGTGTGACACTGTAGCACTCTAGACAACTAGAAAGCCATGCTTCTCAGGGTGAGAGGGGCAGAACTACAGATACCCCCTCCACATCAGGAGTCCCCACTGTAGAAGCAGCTGAGTGGGACCCACCACCTGGGGGACCTGCACTGGCCACTACTGCGCCAGCCATCAGACAGCAGTCTGAGCTCCTTTTAGGGGTTATGTTTCCCCCAGATGAAGCTCTTGGATTGAGTCTGACCCCATACACAAATAAAGTGGGGTCCAAAAAGCCCTGTCTAGCTTGCTTTAATTTCGAGAATCTTGCTCTAAAGATCGTCAATACTCCATGGGTTCTTAATGTCTCTCCTCCATTAAAACACATAAAAAGATGCTTCAAAGTGTTGGGTTTGGATTGGTATAATGTATTCTTTAAATTCACAAAGTATCTTGTAAAGAAAAGGAAATGTTTTAAACATTAGTACTGTGACCCCTAATGTCACATTCCCATAACTATGACAAGCAGCAAGAATCTCACACTAAGCAAGCGCTCCGTGGGAAAAGGGGAGTTCTCCATGCTATAAATAGCCCCTTTCTCCAAGGACAGGGGGCACACAGACACCAAGAGCGCCTGGTCAGTGAATGCCAACATGACGCGGCACCATTCTTCCTATTTCAAGGGGCCCCAGTGAGAGAAGCAACAGTCCACCCACCAGGACTTGGTGATTAGGTGGTTACTGCAAGTGGAAGCAACCGGGGACAGCCTCCAAGTGGAGGAGGAAGTGCTTTTCAGCTGACAGGCGGAAGGGCAGTTCTGGATTAATTCCCCAACTGTCACGTCCACTCGTCCACAGCCACCTCCGCACCCTTCAGAACTGCGGAGCAGGAGGAATCAGAGTAGTCAAACAAAACCTCAGGGCCGCTTTCCGGACACTCCCACTTGAACAATGCAAGCACACCCCTGAGCCACTGATAGTTTCCAGCGAACCACAAACTCTCCCCGCAGACGTCCATCTGTTTGTTGAAACGTATTCATTGCACATTTGTGCTTCGAACTCAATTTGGGCCAAAAGTTCCCCGTACAGAACCACTGGCCTCCCGGATTAACAAACTTCACTTGCAGGTAGATGCGAGGAAACAATGAATTCCGCACTGGAATAAACACCCACAAGGCCACAAGAAGAAAAGGTGCTCTGCTATGCTTGAGTTACAGAGGACCTCACAGAGCCTGGGCTAACATGAGTGGAGCAGAGTATTAGCCCCTGAAGCTGCGCCCAGGGCAACCCGAGTTCTAGGGTGGCGATATTACCCAGCACCAGCGGTCACCTGGAAACTCCGCACACACAAGCCAGCATGACGTTTCTGAAGCAGGCCCAGCCGTGACACTCAGCTTAACATCTGGATTTCTCCGCAGCCCACCAGCCACACGGGAAGCCACCCTCCATAAACACTCCCGGCTTCTGGAACAGTCTCCCGTCACGCACTTTCCTCCATGGCGCTCCCCTGGGCTCCCGCCCTCACTGCTGCTTTCCTGGTCAGCTTCCCGGGACTCAGCTCCTCCAGGGCAGGAGCTCGGTGTGTCGGTCATCACTGGGGCCGCAGCGCCCGGCGCAGATGGGACAAACGACCGAGGAAAGCCACCTGCAGAGCCGCACTCAGCTGGCTCCAACATCAGATGCTGCCGCCTGGTTTCGGGGCGCTTTCCGTTCTAAGGCACACACCAGCCGCGGCCCCCAGCGCCCTCTCGGCCGGCCTCCGACCAGCTGTGCGCCCGGGAGCACACCGTGGGCCGGCTTCCCCGCTAGGGATCGAACCCGAGGAGAGCTGTCGGGGTCGCAGCGAGACCGCAGGTGCCAAGCGTCCCGCCTGCCGGGCGAAGCCAACCCGCGGCCACGCGCGAGGAGCGGCCGCAGCGACTGGACAGAAACAAAGAGACAAAGACGAAGGCGGCTCCTCCCAGGCCCGCACCCCAGCCGCGAGGGCAGCTCCCGCGGCCGCCAGACCGGCGTGGCCCTCGGGATGCCTCCGCCAGGGCGCTGCCTGCGACCGTGCGCCCGGGCCGCCCACCGAGCCCAGCGCCGCAGCCCCGACCCCGACCCCGACCCCGACCCGGACCTCCAGCCGCCCCGCCCGCTTCGCGGCCCTCACCCGCTCCGGAAGGCTCCTGCGCGGCGGCCACCGGGATGAGCAGCAGGAGCAGCGCGGCGCCACCGAGGGGCAACCTCCAGTAGGGCGTCGAGCCGCGGGCCACTCTGGGCACCATGGTCGGCCGGTCGTTCGGTCAGTCAGCGGCACCGTACAACTCCGAGGCCAGCCTCAGCGGCCTCTGCCCGGAAGAGCGGCGGCGGCGGCGCCGGAAGTGGCTCGCCGGGGCGAGGCTATCGAGTGCGCAGCCGCAAAAGGCAGCTCTCCCCGCCCCCTCGCCATCGGGCCCGCCTCCCGGCTTGGCTGAGGCTCAGTGCGCCTGCGCAGTAGAGAAGCGTCCGCCTCGTGAGGTAAGCCGCTGAGGCTCAGTGCGTCAGTGCGCCTGCGCGGGGTGGAGGGGCGTGGACGGATGGAGGGGCTCGCCGCGCCTCCTGCGCCTGCGCGACGGGGAAGGGCGACCGGCTGAGGGGACCGGTGGAGCGCGGTGTTTCGGTGGCGGAGGTCACGGTGGCCTCCATCCTAAAGGGCTGCGGGCGTCCGGGACGGCGGCCCCAAGCGCTGCTCACGCTGCTCTTAAGTGAGCCCTGGAAGAAGCGCGGGTGGGCCCTCGCGGTCCGCTTAGCGCCCGCGCTCCTCACCCGGGCGTCCCGCCCCGGGATCCTGCCGATGTCCGTGGGGGGCTTTTCGTGGATTCTTTACTTTTGTGCGTTACCGTCACTAGAAGCGGCCCCGGCGTGGCCTGACACGTGTGCTGCTGAACTGTCACTGCATTTCCTCCCCCGCTGCGGCCTTCCGGGCCCCTCGGTCCATAAAGGACTAAATACTGACAGGCATTTTTAAGGCGACTTCGGAAATGGCAACAATGCATTTACAGGTGGAACCTGAGCACAGTCTGCGCGCTTTAAGCCCCGCGGGAGCCGGGGCCGCCCGCTCCGTCGCCCGCAGCTGCTTCTAGGTCGGGGACGCGCCGGCGCCGGGGACAGAACTCCTGCCTTCCTAGTTCGCGACCCTCGTGGATTCGCCTCTCCTTGGTCGTGCTCTGCTTAGACCGGAAACGGGGCACGTGACCGCCGCACCCTCTGACGTGCTAGTCGGACCCCCCGCAAACATGCACTGGCCGTGGTCAGCCATCGCTGTGACTGTGACTGTGCGCCCGCCCCGGGGGACGGACCCCGCCGTCCTGCTTCAAGCCCTCGGCCCCTGCCTCCTGCGGGCCCCCTTCCCCCCTGCTTCCGAGGGCGGACTCCGTTCCTCTGGAGCTGCTGTTTCTGGGTGGGTCCCCCCCGAATTAGATTCTGACCCCTTGGTAACTTGAGGTTGGCATTTTGGCGCCTGCAGCTGGGCCCGAAGCCAGCCTCCTGGGATCTGTGCCACTTCTCTGGCACCCACGGAGCGGCCTTGGCTCACCCGACCTCCTGGGAACCCGTCGGCGCCGCTGGCAGCCTCCCAGGGCCGAGGTTCAGACTGTTCCGCCTACCCGGGTCCACAGCCCCGGGGCTGGCGTTGAAGCTTGGTGCTAAGGCAGGAGTTTCATTTGCTATTTCTCCGAAGAGTTACCTGTTTGCAGGTGCGTGGTTTCGCTTTCTCTCCAGGTTAAGGTTTTGTGTCTTACTTGCTGAAGTTCGCAACCTTTTTTCTCCTTCCAATGTGGACAAGGGGAAAGCAGTTTCTCTTTGAAAAGCAGCAGCGAATCGTGGCTTAAGCAAAACGTGTAATCTTTAAAATGGGCCAGGTTCTGGAGCTCAGTTCAATTGACATGTCTAAACTTTCTTCTTGAGTAACCAGAATTTCCCTTACAGTCTTTCTTCACTTAAGAGAACTCATAAACAGTTGTCCATGCAGAACCAAGTCTTTCTCCAGGAAGGGCCCACCTTTGGAGGCGCCAGCTGGATTCCTGTGCAGTGCTTACGGCGCCACCTCTTGTCATTACTTAGAAAAACGGTCTCACATAACTTGTGAGAAGGCATTTCAGTGACCAAAACCGGGTCCCTTGAAATACCAAGCTAATTTACTTGTTTGCCCAATTGGAAAACACTCGCTCGAGGATAAAGCAGTTTTGGGGAGAGTTTTTTTTTTTTTTTTTTTCTTTTAATGATATTTGGAAGCATCCAAAAGAAGTAAATAAATAAATAAAGATATTTATTTATGAGAGAAAAACAAAAAAAAATCTAAAATAGTGTCTGAATTTAAAAAGACTGCTGAAATTTCTCCCCTCCTCCCTCAGCTCCTCCTTCTCTTTACCCTTTGTTGTCTGAACTACCTGGCTCAGGCCCCACCTTTCTTCCTCCTCCTCCTCCTTCTCCTCCTGTTCTGGGGCCATTTCTCAAACAGCCAGTGTCTGACAGGGGCCAACCACATACCCTGGTTCATCGGTCATGTTCAAAGTTAGAACTTACAAATATAATCAAGGAATTTCCTGATGCTCATCAGGACCCTACTTGTTTTTCCAGAAAATTCAAATACCTGAGTGTGTGACCCTGGCTCTACTTTGGGAAAAATAAAACTTCCTTTAAAAAGAGAGTTAACGCAGTTCTCGTTGCTGACACAAGTGCCCGCTAATACAGCAGCTGCGCTGTCTGTACTAAATCCCACCTTGTTAGGAGGTTCCATTCCTTGGAGTAAAAAAAAAAAATTCAAAGGGTAGGTGTCACTAATCCTCCTGTAATGGCACATAAATCTCAGCCTATAGCTTTGAAACTCGGTCCTTTATGGGGGAACTCACATTTTCCTTCTGGATCTATCAGCTGCCATCCATCTTATAAAACGAGACTTCTTAGAATTATAATAACCATGTTTCTTTCTCCCAAAGGGGGAAAATGTATTTAGAATTAGCTGAGAAAGCTGAGTTACTAGACATAAAAAGTGTTTCAGAATCTAATTCAATTGCAATCCATATTGCCCTAGAAGACACTAAATTATTGAAGAATGAAGAATTACAAAACCTACTAATGGCACTACTTGATCAAATACGGTCCAAGTCTTCCGCCGATACTGGAAGAATCCTCTCGGCTACCCCAATCCAAGTCCTTTACCACAGTGCACTTCTGGAGCATGTCTTTTAGGAGTTCCTGTGGGTGAAGGTGTCGACTTCCCTTTACCTTTACTTGGGAAGACAGACAATATACACAGACAGCCATGTCCAGGGCTACACTGAGAGCCCAACTTACGCAAAAACAGTTCTCTTAGATATTGACTCGTTCTTAAAAAAATTTTTAATACAATACATGGGCAGTTTACTCCTTTGCCCAGAAGATAAGCAAGCTTTTATAGAATGTTGAAAACAGATGCTTGGTGCCACAGAGAAAAATCAGCACTAAGACAAAGGATCTCTCAGCAAGGTAATTTTACTTAATGCAGAAAGGTGCTCCTGTTAGCCATCTTGCCATGGGAGTACAACAAACAAAGGAAATGCAGACATATTTATCTTTTCTGCATTTGGGGTCATCTTTACTGCTGTGTCTGACCTCCATTGGCTAGAGCCAGACCTCATAATCTAAAACTGAACCCGACTGGCTAACACTTAAAACTTTCTTAAATAGATAAAAGCAATGGAAAACAAAAAGGAAGTCCAAAAAAGGAAGGGACAGGAAGTTGCTTGCGAAAGGACTTAGAAAACTAGTAACATAAATATTCTGGTTAAAGTACAAGGACATAGAATGTACTACATGCCTGTGAGCATGTCTAGCACAAATACCTTGGTTAAAGTACAAGGACATAGAATGTACTACGTGCCTGTGAGCATGTCTAGCACAAATACCTTGGTTAAAGTACAAGGACATAGAATGTACTACGTGCCTGTGAGCATGTCTAGCACAAATACCTTGGTTAAAGTACAAGGACATAGAATGTACTACGTGCCTGTGAGCATGTCTAGCACAAATACCTTGGTTAAAGTACAAGGACATAGAATGTACTTATTCCTTTATGTCTAACAGCTAGATAGGATAGTGCTTAACAAAGAGTCACTAGTAAAAGGCAAGAAGGCTTTGAAGAAGTCTTTCTTCAAAGGCCATTGCCACTTGTGAGCTGCGGCTATAAAGAGACTGTTATTTCTAACATTTATTATTATTATTATTATTCTTTAACAAGAAAGGAAACTTTGAAGACAAACTTTTCTACTTCCCACATAGAAGATGGGATACATTCATACAGTTCCTTAAGGGGACATTAAATTTCTAAAGAAACACTTCAGTTTTATAAAAAACAAGTAAAGTACTTGGGCCACTTAATGTGGACTTTCTATTAATCTAGGTTGAAAGGAATTTTAGCTTTCCACCACCACCAACAATAAACAAAAGAGTTTGGGGGACTGGCAGGATATTATAGAAAGTGGATCTCAAACTTTTCTTTAAAGCTCAGCCATTATATGCTCTCTCAAACAGGACATGCCAGGCCCTTGAGAGTTGGCAGAAGAAAATCCACCAACATTCAAAATGATCAAATGTGACCTTGCTAATTCTCTGCCTTTGGGGCATCCAAATTATAACCTTCCAATTTTATTATTTGTCTAATACATGAAAGTGGTGGAGATGCTTTAGGGGGTCCTAAAACACAAAGATCAAAATAGACTCACAGGCATGTCCCAGCTCACAGCCTATGCCCCTTCCTTATTTGGACTTCCTTTTTGCCTTCTGTTCTCCATTGCTTTTACCTATTCAGGTAAGTTTTAAGTTGTTAGCCAATCAGATTTTAGTTTAGATTGTGAAGTTCAGCTCCAACCAATGGAGATCCGACATAGCAGTGAGGACCTAATGCATAAAGAATAAGTATGCTTGCTCTTCCTTTGTTCACAGTACTCATGGCAAGATGGCTGACAAGGAGTACCCTTTCTGCAGAAAGTAAAATTGCCTTGCTGAGAAAACTTTTTATCTGAATGCTATTTTTTTCCTTGCAATACCTAGGAACAAGCATTGTGTCTCTAACATTTAGTTTCCAACTTTCTGCCATAAGTAGGTATTGAAGGTGTTACTTGACATGTAGAGGCCCCAACCAGTTATATACAAAAGGCCTTAAGTCATAGCAAGATGTGTATCTCGTTATTAAATAATAAACTTACTTGAGAAAATCTATGTTGTAAAACCATATGGCTCTAGACATACTCACTGAAGCCCAAGGAAACCTGGTAGCTGTCATAAAACTAAATGCTGTATCTATATCTCAGATAAGTCAAATAACATTACTAAATTCATGGCTGACATGAAAACCCACATAAACCAACCTTTCAGAGCCAAAACCTCCTCTAAACAACTGGGTAAATAGCTGGTCTGGATCTTGGCAAACTTAGTGACAAAAACTATTAACTTATTCTAGAAATTACAGT